CACTCTCAATTTCAGAACTTCAATTTCAGGCTTCGCCTGTTATGCAAATTATCCCACGTTTCCAACTATTGTTGATGTCCCTGGCATATTCTACTAACTAGACAGTGATTCCTTAAGTAGTCATTTTATGCTTATATTGATTGTTTGATATATGAAATATGGAGATAACAATATTTCAGCTCAAAGTTCATTAAAACAATACAAATCGGGAGCAGAGCAAACACGGACCTCCAAAAACATCAGAAGTGGGATCAGTTGCCATGGAGGAGTGAACATCCCCTGTCGACCTGTCACACCCGCCATGTGCTCCTTTTCATGACTGGTAAATAACATAAATATCCATCGACAATTCAGTGTGTATATAATGGCCTAACAATTAGGATGAAAAATGTCAGTCAGCATATGACTTAATGATAGATTGTATTTGCTGACAAAGCTATTGTATCGACCATAGAACTTAAGAAATGATGACTTTAAACGAGACCGTTGATATTCTTGTTTCATCAACTTGTTTGTCAATAACTTACCTCGTTTTAGAAATTGTTCATACATAAAGCATGCTCTTGCGTATCGAATCAACTGAGAGATATACACCCCATATGCAAAATTTATTGCAAGCTCTCTCTGTTTTTATAAGAGATATGCTTTAACTGTTAACCAGTCATGGGTCACTGACAAGACACATTCAAATCATTTCAGGTAATGGATCAATAACGGGTACATGTACTAATATTATGAAAAGAAAAGACAAATGACCTGCATTTAGATGTAATGTGCAGTAAATATTATATTTGAAATCAAATACATTAAATACATATACATGTATTTATTATACTGGGTAAATCATTTGTTGTGTAATGGTGATAGCATAGATTTAATATTGTGCAAGTAGTCTGTAAAAGACAAATAGAGAAAATGACATGCAAAATTAATTTAAATTTCAACAAATATTCAACTATTGTTTGACTATAAAGCTTCCGACTATTTGACTAAGCTGTCCAAATAAGATTGACACCCTTAATATATATATATATATATATATATATATATATATATATATACAGGTAACTCTTGATACCTCAAAGTCCGCGGGACTGAGGAAAAACTTCGAGAGATCAAGAGTTCGAGTTTTCAAGAATCCAGAATTTTTCAGGTTTGTTGACAAGTTTTACAATTAGTTTTACCGGATGTACTGATTTTCATGCAGTGCTAACCTTTTACATGTGGTTTTTATAAAACGACGATATTTTTTCGTAATTTAGATGAATATTTCATTAAACTGAGTAAAGCAAAATATGTACATCGTTATTCCATGTATATTATTTATTCTTTGTAATACGGACATCATACTACGCATTCGTTACATGAAAACAAAATTTTACAGTGTTGTACATAGCATTGACTATTCCAAACATGATCATTGAACGCAGTTCTGTAAGTATTTGTCCAATAATAGTCATCATATTAACATTGAGGCTGTTTTTGCTTTTTCATATTTCGTTTAACTTTGACACTGACTCCAAATAAAAATTAAATTAGTGTTTCATCTTTTAATCAATTACTACTTTTCACTGACACCGCGTCTCTAAATTATTGTAAGACAGTCAGTTATAATTATTTTAATAGCATACAGGCAAGATATGATTAATTATAAATCAATTTGTTAGAATAATCTAACTCTGTCTTGGGACAGGCCCTCACCACAGTTAGAATGCCTCCCATATACCTGTAATGTAGCAGAAAAATGCAGAATTGCTCCGAAATGAATTTGGAGAGAATTGATGAAGTTGCATTGAAAACAGTCAAATTAATCATAACAAACCTTTTTGAGACTGTAAATACCTTTCATCTAAAAATTTAATCCATATAATGGAAGAACTCAACACTTTTCCACCACCGTTTTTTACTCATTTCAAATTTACACACCATGTTGACATTCGGAACTCTCGGCATTTTTCAAAGTAAATGCACTAAGTTAGAGTTATCTCCCATATTTTCTTTGCTGCATTGACAATACAAAGAACGCATTCTATCGTTAAAATGGGTCCATAGGACATTTATCATTTTAACGATAGAACATTCTATCTATAAATCAGTTATCACCTTGCAGCATAAGTGTCACTTGAATAAACATCTCGTTCCTGGAGACCTGCATCTTCTGCCTGGGGCCAATTAATGTCCAGGTAAAGGTGCTAATTATATAACCTTGTATACACATAGCCACTTCAAGGTATTGAGGGTAAATTCTAATAGAATATGCATAGCGGGACTGCATTTTGACTTTGAGGGATCAAGGGTTTCGAGAGATCAAGAGTCTGAGAAAACAAGAGCAAATTTTCTTAGTTACATAGGGGAAAAAATTCAATACCGGAGACTCACTTCGAGCGATCAAGAACTCCGAGAGATCGAAGTTCGAGCCATCAAGAGATACCTGTATATATATATATATATATATATATATATATATATATATATATATATATATATATACACACAGTGCAGTCTCATTATTACGATGTTCATTTTGTCACAGGAAAATATCGTAATACCGAGGGCAACGTAATAAAGGTTCCCAATAAAATCCATTAAAACATCATTTTGAAAGCTTGTTATTTTTGTGGGAGGTGTATTTTTGCCCTTTTGTTCCCTTCTTCTGTTTCAATTCTTAATTAAAACATTATACACATAGATAATTTATTAACAACTTATCTTGAATAGATATCTTCATGAGGATATTTCTTCTATTTCCTTCATTTTAAAAGAAATATTCATATTTTTTATAAAAACTTCGGTGATCTTCATTTATCTACCGCCATTTTCTTTAACTTTTACTTTCGTTTCTGACTCTTGAGATAATGCGTTCGTAAAAATTTCAATAAGGCGTCTTTGTATTCAATTTATAGTCGTTACTACATAAACAACAACAACAATTTTTAGTGAGCTTTTGGGTTTTCAATGAGCTTAGAGCTGCAGTGAGCAACTGATGAAAGAGGGCAGTGTGACTGGCATATTTATGGATGGAATTTGACAACACAAAAGCTATATGTCAAAATAAATATGATTTTTTAAATTACTGAACAGAGTTCAATTAGCAGTTCAGCAATTATCAATTTGAATTTCTGCTGACAACTGCGGGGTAGTCCAAGCCACAATCCAAGCTGTTAAAACGTAAGGCCAACATTTTTTTATTAAATGATTTATGGGAGCGCCGACTGTGATTTTGGCTAAAACAAAATAAAAATAAAAGTCCCTGTTGTTGATTTTTTTTAAAAATTTCCCGCCGATCGTCAATGCAAGTGCACTAAGAAAATAAAATTATGTGCAAATAAGTTGGCAATTCTGATTGGCTGCTTTATTGAAAGCCATTATTATCGTCCAATCAATTTACGTCTGTTATCAATTGTTTCGGAAGTGTATAAAACGTGCCAACATGGATGCAGAAATGTCAACTTTTACAAAAGTTGAGAATACTTTGTCCTTATACACGATAGTTTTTCCAAGTCAACCATAGCTAACAGGAAAATCAATTGGAGTATGTCCGATGACGAAGTTAAGTTGGAGTTAAAAAGAAATAAAAGAAATGATCAGCTGAATTTTATCAGAGGATACGTTGACAAGACTGTCACTTTCGCTGTGGGTACCGTATACAGTAGTTCTCTTTTACAATTTTGATACCTTTGATGAACGTGATAAAAGAATGGAAACTAAAAATATACGTTCGAAATTTGTGAAAAATAAAATGTGACGTATCTAATTTGCATGTATATCCAAGAAACGTTTTCAAACTTGCAACATTTTAAAAAGATCACATGCAGCACCTGTACAGACTATAGAAATTCATAGATATTTTGATGTGTGTTAAATAGTTGTAGAATAGATATAAACAGACACTGCAAACAAAACGGTGTTTAATGCATTAATAGTCAAGCTTTCAGATGTTTGTTAATATGCATAAACATATGCTGTATTGTAAAATACAGGTTTAATTCATGATTCTGGGTTTTATATTGAGATTCTCTTTATAACAATATTTTCCATTTTTGATTTGTTGGTTCATGATTTTTTCAGTACTTTGACAAAAGTGCGGTTCTCATTATAAACTTTTTTCTTTGGTGATCTTGTTGTGGTCATGATTAATATTTTGATAAGAACATTGAAGAAATTCCTTAGATTTCCCCCATTTCTCATAAGGGTTTAATAGTCTACTTTAATTTTTG